GTTTAGGGATTGTAGAAGTCTTGTGAAATGTGTCTTGCAAATCATCAAAGATAGATTAGTCACAATCAAATTCAACAGTTCCCCCAAAAACTTGTCTCTCCTTCAAGCTTGGTAGCTTCTTGTTGTGGCTTAGGTTCAAATGATATGTGCTAGGAATGTCCTGCATTTGTGGATGAGGCAGGAGTTGTTGCCTGTTCTGCGCACTAGGGTGCCCTTATACATGATGATCATGGTTAATCGTTGTTTGCTGTGCTGGTTCTAGGGACATTTGCTTTGGGATGGATCATGTTGCTGGGGGTCTCCTGTGTGTTGAAGTTTTTTGTTGGCAGGAATGCACTATTCAAGTGCACAGCTTGTTTAATGTAGCTGCTGGCCTTTCTCCTCTGTTTTCTTCTTTCTTCAGCAGAGTGTTGATGACCTTTATCTGTTGTTTCAGCTGGTTCCCCTCAACTACCTTTTATTTTGGTGTCTGCTGCCCTTGGTCTGCTGTCTGGTCTCCATTGCAGCCCGCCACAGTCGCTAGGCACTGTTCACGGCTTTCTTGTTTCACTGCTCTTGAATGCTGCCTTGATTGCTGCATGTTTGCTCTGTTATGAGGAGTTCATCCTAAGAGCATGAAAGGTTCTTCTGGATCCTTCATCCATTTGTTCTCCCACTTGGCTGTTGGCATGTATGTTGGCATTGGGCTTTCCATATTATCTGATGGAAGCCTCTTTGCTTTCTTTGTCTCCTTTGAGTATGGATTCTGCTGGAAGTACCAGCTCAAGGCTAGCACTTTCTTTAGAATTCTACACTCTTGGTTGTTGTAAATCTTTTGGTTCTACTTTTGTATTGGATGGATGCATTATCATGTGAGCATCACCTCTGCTTTTTTTCTTATGAATATATTTACCTTCCGTAACAAGCAGCTTAGGCGATGAACAACAACTCGATCATTAATCCTTCTGGAGTCCAGCCGTATCTCTGCTCCTTCTCTAACTTCCAGCCCTCAGCGGTTCAACCATCACTTAATCTCATCACACAATCTCACTCTTAGGTCTAATGACTGCTATCTCTCTCTCTCTCTGTTTCTATGCTTGTTGTCGCCTGTCAAAGCTTCTTTGCAAAACTAGCAAACAAAAATTATAAAACTTGTTTCATTTTTTTGTTTTTTTTTCACTCATTGTATATAAAATATAATATTTTTTTAGTATAATTATTATGTTTTACAATTTTTTTTATTTTTTATTACACAACCTGTCCGATCAGTTGATCCAATAAACTATTGATTCGGTGCCTCCCCATATCCGATCCAATTCTGATAACACGGCCTTAGTGAATTAATTTTTACTCACAAGTCGTAGATTTGTGAATTGAAGGGTTGAGACGGTTCAAAAATAAATAAATAAAAGAAAATAAAGGGTTAAGGGCCTTATTTTTTTGCTTACAGAAAATGAGGAAAATTTGATGCATCACTCTGGATAAGGTCCTGTCTGTACTACATTGTGCCCTGGTCTGAACCTATACACTACTACAAGTTTAATTATATATTAATTATGATTTTTAAAGAAAATTTAGATTTTTATTTTTAATTTTAATTTTATTTCAATAAATGTCATAATAGAACATGAATTTTTGTTATAAAATTTAAAATTTTTGATATTTTATCTTTGGTTGGATTATTTTTGATTTAAGTATAATATTTTAAACTTGAGGGGCCTAAGTATTACACGTCTACAAACTTCAAGGGAGTTTGAGTGTAATTTACTAACGGATATTGACAACGGGGTCTAAGTGTTACACGTGTACAAACTTTAAGGGGGTTGTATATAGTATTTCAAATATTAAGAGATCTAAGTGATTAAATGACAAACCTCAAAAAGTCCGAGGGTAATTCTCCGTAAAATTACCAATTAAATTGCCTAAAATGCCTATTGTCCAATCCAATTTTTGGTGTTAGTAATGTCTTTTTACATATATATCCACCTACCTATATGTCAACTCTCGGGTCCGTACATATTGGCCTATTTGGTATATGAGTTTAGAATCTTTGTGGAGATTTAAAAAGTGATTTTGTAAAAATAAATGAAATTTGGATGCCGGTCCCTTATATGCACTTATTTTGGATTTAAGTATGCCAAGAAATTTTATTTCCTATGAAATCTGTTTTTTGTCAATTTTACCAAACTATCACTTCCTTTAGAAGTGAAGTAATATTAAAAATTAAAAAATCTTTAATCTTAAGAGTATGACTAACATTAAAAAAAAAATTCTCTCATATCTATCTATGTCCATATATAAGTTAGGACTATATTTCTCTCAAATATATAATAGATCACATGGGAAATTGAAATTTCCACCCTACATATTTTTACCCCCAATTTCATCAAATCACCTATCTTATCAAATGTTCAATTATTTAATATTTAATTAATTTATTGGTTAACATAATTTTTATTTCAGATATTATCTATACACGATAGTATACACATGTTGATAAAATTGTATCGAATTACTTATTTTGAGAAAATTTTGTCAATATTATTAAGAAAATAATAAGTGAAAATTAATTTTAAATAAATGAAGAAAAACAATTGTTATTTAATATAGTGGGATCGAGCTTTTGACCACTCAAATTTTTTGTTTTTTTGTGCCTTTAGCCACAGGATATGACTGGTATATATATATATATATACAGTCATTTCAGGCACGAAGTAATAAAAAAAATTATCAATAATAAATATATTTGTATTCACACCCAAAATCAAATCACAAACAAAGAGGAGAAAAAAAAAAAGAAATTTAAGCACTCGTGGCAGTGTTGGTGGTGGAAAACGATGATAATTGTGGTGAGTGGTGACGACTGTGGTGGTGGTGGCAGCCATGGGTCGCAATGATTATGGCGGTGGTGAGTTTTGGGTGATGATAGTGATAGTGGAAGCCATGGATGACGGTAGTTGTGGTAGTAAGTGTGGGTGGTGGTGGGTGACGGTGGTGGTGGTTGACAATGGTGGTGGTGGGGTGATGACAGTGGTGGTGGTGGTGGGCAATGACAATGGTGGTGATGGGCGACGACAGATGTTTTTTAGCGACAGTGTGATAGGTAATGGCGAATGACGATGGTGGTAGTGGTGATAGGTGTGGTGGGAGTGAGTGACAACGAGTAGCGGCAGTAGTGAACGATGACAGGTGGTGGTGGTTAGTGCTGATAGATGTGGTGGGTGTGAAAGATAGTGGTTGGCGATGATTGTGGATGACGATTGATGGTGGTGGTGGGTGCTGACAGTGAGTAACGGTTATAGTGTAATGGTGGTGATAATAGAAATAAATATAAGAATAAGATGACGATAATGATTGGTGGATGACGGTGGTAGCAATCAATCGTGGGTGGTGGTGGTGACGGAGTGGCATGGTGATGGTTGTGGGATTGGTGGTGGGGCGTTAGGGGCGGTGGGGGTAGGGGTGATGATGGGAGAATGACAGTGGCAGTGGTGGTGGCGACGACAGTGGTGGTGGTTAGGCAACGATGGTGGTGATGGTTGTTGTGGCAGAGGTGGTGCTGGGGTAGCAACGGTGGTGGTGGTAGTAGTGATGGTTGTTATGGTAGTGGTGGTGGTGGAGCAATGAAGGTGGTGGTATTGGCAGAGGTGACGGCAGTGGTAGTGGTGATGGCAGTGGAGATGGTGGTGGTGGTGGTGGTGGGGGTAGTTGTGGTGGTGGGTGGTAGTGGTGGGTGTTGGGGCAGTAGGTGGGGTGGTGGTGGTGGTAGTAGGATGATTTCAAACACTATTTTTTTTAAAAGTATTTAAGAGAAGTTTTAAATTCTAAAAACAATTTTAAATATTCACTCCAAACATACCTTTAAGGACCTATTTTTCCTATTAAATTTAGGGTGTTCATATTAACCGTCAGATTAATTTTAAAATAAAATTTAAAGAGATTTTAACCGTGAAAAATAAAAGTTATTTTGTTTATCTTTTGAGATTTGAATTGTATTGTACTTTATTATATAGATAGTAACATTAAAAATAAAAACATCCAAATACAAAAAAAAATATCATTTAAATATAAAAAATAATATCATTTAAACACAAAAAATAGCAACATTTAAACATAAAAAAAAATACTAACATTCAATATTAATATTTTAAAAAAATAACAATAGTAACATGTTCAACAAAAATAGTAATATATTCAACAAAAATAGTAACATTCTTAACAAAAACAGTAATATGCTCAACAAAAAAAAATAGCAATATAGAACATTGAACAAAATTGAAAATAACATTAGTTACATTCAAACCCATAACTAGAGGAAAAAACCTTCAATTCTTCGGTATTCAAAAAAGTAACATTGAAAAAATAATAACATTCTCAATAAAAATTAGTAACATGAAAAAAATGTTGATTTTCCTTGACACCTTTCTTTTGTCACCAAGATATTTCTATTTGCCGCAAGAAGTTTGTCACTAGCAGCATTACATGTAGTTTGGTACGATGGAAAAAATGAAAGGATAGAAAGTTGGAAAGATAAAAAGTTGGAGAAAATGAATGATATTTTCTCTACCTTATCAAATACAAAAAAAAATCAAGGGAAAATTCCAGTTTGCCTCCTCAAAGATACAAATTTTTTCACTTTGCTCCCCAAATGATTAATTTTTTCATATTGCCCCTTGAAAGACATTAAAATGTTGCAATGTAGTCAATCGTCATTTTTTCCGTTTGTCCATTTGATTGCTACATTGTAAAATCATTGTCTGTGCAAAATCTTGTCTTCGTCTACCCAAGTGATTTGGGTAATCTACTGGGAGAGAGAGAGAGAGAGAGAGAGAGAGAGAAGGGACCAGATTGGGGGAAGAAGATTGGGCAGATATGCAGATAATATTTGTGGATATTTTACTATCCGATTGCATCATGGTGGTAGATTGGGCAGTAAGGACAAGAAACGTTATATTGACTGGAAGATAAATCACATAGATATGTGTGATGCTGACCATCTTTGTTTGATTGAGTTGGAGAATATGTTAAAGGCTACGGAACTGGGATACTCTGAGTTGAGTAGGTTCCACCATATAACTACTGATGGATGGAAAGTGTTAGAAAATGACAGACAAACCTTGGAAATGATTAACTATGTTGATAGCGATAGAGTCATTGATGTTTATGTTGAGCACATCAATCCAAATGTGTTTATCCACAATCAAGTTGATTCAAATGCAGGTGGTTTGGTGGAAAATCAAAAGAAAAATCAAAACTTTGAAAGTTCTAATGAGAGTGGCTCGTACTCAGACGGAGAGTCCTTAGAGTATGAATACTTTTATGATAGTGAGTATGACATGCATGATGATGAATTGTATGATACTTTTGTGGATCATGATGTTGAATTTGTTGGTGTTAACAAAGGGAAAAGAATGGAGGAAGACAAAGGAGTTGCCAAAGGAAAAAGAATGGAGAAAGGCAAAGGAGTTGCCAAAGGGGAAGAAGCTGGTGACAGGGGCACAATTATGCAGGACGTTAATGATTTTTATGGTGAAGAATATGACACAAATGAGTTGGTCAGTCTTAGTGGATCATCATTAAAGGGTGAGGAAGGAGGAAAGTCCAAGGTTAAGTATCCACACTTCAATGCTAGGACTGACATGGTTGATCCACAATTTAAGCTTGGTATGTTGTTCAAAAATACAATTGAGTTTAGAGCTACAGTTAGGCAACATGCAATCAAATAGGGTAAGGAGATAAGGTTCATTAAAAATGATAAATGTAGAATAAGGGTAGTTTGTAGGCCTAGTTGTGAGTGGTTGATATTTTGCTTCCAGCATGGCAGGCGAAAACAACATACAAGTTAAAACATATAATGCTTCCCATAGTTGCAATAGAACTCTCAACATTAAACATGCCACTTCAAACTGGATTGCATATACATATGTTGATAGACTGAGATCAAACCCATATATGGCCCGTGAAATCCTTCAAGGAAATTGTGTAGAAAGAGCATGTTCTAAACTTAGGAAAAAACAAGGTATATAAAGTTAAACATAAAGCAATGTAAATTGTGCGTGGCACAAACAAAGAACAGTTCAATTTATTATGGGATTACTGTGAAGAATTAAGAAGAAATAACTCAAATACAACTTGTATAATCAAGTCCAAGAATTAAGAAGAACAGTTCAGTTTTAATGTATATTTTATGTTAAGGTGGACAAACTTGTAACTGACTCAGAAACTAGAAACCCCAATTCTGCATGCTCACATCCATCTCATTCGCAATCTGCAACATTGAATGTTCCAATTGGCATACAGAAGTTGCCTATAAGATATAAAGCATTTCATGTTTGTTATCATGCCTATTTTTATTTTTCAATAAATGAGCTAATTTTTATTATTCATTAACTGATTAGAAGGAAGAACAATTGATCACAATATGAACCTACAATTGTATCAACCAAATCAATCAAGAAGCCATCAACATCTACTTCCATTCAGTCTGGTTGGAGAGCAACATCAGCATCTACCTCCATCCAATCTGGTTGGAGAGCACCATCAGCATCTATTTCCATTTTTGAGTCTGCTTGGAGAGCACCATCAATATCTACTTCCATTCAGTAAGCTTGGAGAGCACCATCAGTAGGGGTGTCCATGAGCCGGATTACCCACGGGTCTCGTTACCCAGCCCGAAAAAAATAGGGTCGAAGCTCGATAGTTAGCCTGCCCTAGCCCAAGCCCAATATCTTTTAAGAAAGGGCTTGAGTTTACCCCTAAACTCACTAGCCAGCCCGGCCCAATAACCCTCCCACATACCCAGCCTAATAACCCGCCCACATACTCGAAGCCCAAAGCCCGCCAGAAGCCCACATATCATATATATAATATACATATATATACTACTAATCAAAGTACACTATTTAGAAAAGCTTTTAATTGACTACTTTAACCCTAAAACAATATATAAAGACAATACTAACCTTCTTTAATTTAGAACTCATATTAATAAGACTAGATTGATGTTAAACTTTTAATTGTACAACTTGACTCTCACAATACTAACATTATTATTATGGAATTTATATTGATAAAACTTCTTTAATATTACACATAGTCAAGCCTTTCATATTCTTTCTTTTAAAAGATAAAAATGAATTGTTAAAATAATTAAATTTACTATTATTTATTTCTATCTATGATGACAAGTTTCTGAATTTTCAAATGAGATTGCATAAATGCACTAGAGTCTTATTGAATATAAGATTTATTTCAATATAATGTGGATAATATTATCAAACCCTTACTTTTCATTTTCTTCTCTTTTATGTTTTAGTTTTAATAAATCCTCTTTATTTATGTTTATTGGTAATACTAGAAGTCATTGTATTTGTATCGATTATCAATGCTGCAAATATATTCAATATTACATTAAATTACTTTTTACAACTTAACTTTTTAATTTTGTTCAACCAATTTTTATAATTAAATGACCACCATAACTTTAAATAGTTCGCTTCCAACAGGTCCAACAAAACTCGCCCAACAAAAGCCCTCCCAAACAGGTCTGCAAAGCTTGACCAATCAGGCCCCCCCCCCCAACAAAGCCCGCCCGTAAAGCCTGCCCAATAGGTGACGGGTTAGGTTGCGGGTAGCTTACCCGATCCCGGCCTGCCACTCGCCCAAGTACGGGCTTGGGCCTACGCTACCCAAGACCGGCCCGAAAAAAAATTCACGGGCCAAGCTTGGCCCTGCCCATGGACAACCCTAACCATCAACATCACAAAAATCAACTTGGAATACACCAAGTAATGCATCAAAAGGTAGGTAGAAGCCAGGAAGCAGTCTCCCATAGAAGAATGTAGTTCATCCCAGACCAAGTTGAACACAAGGTGAACATACCATCAAGTTGAACATACCAGCAAGTTGAACACAAGTTGAACATACCAGATAGCTGTCTCTTTTGTTAAAATATACCAGCTAGCTGTCACTTTTGTTATACATATTTGTAATGTAGCTGAACTGTAACTCTTTTTTGGTAAATGAATATGCATTTTTGAGGAAATGAATATGCACTTTTTAGTAGAATGAGAAACCAGGTTAATTCATGGGTACACAAATTCACTAATGAATCATAATATTACATAACTTCAGTATTTTATTACAGCAACCATCATCAGATTACATACAACAAAAGATCTAACTTAGCAAAAAAAATTCATCAGTTTCACCTAGCTTCACTTCACCCATCACACATTCACAACAGTTGCAATGGCAAAATATCCATCAGCTTCCACTTTCTGGATACACATTCACAACAGTTGCAAAGGCAAAATATCTCCATTTGGAACCTCCATGGTTGAGCCATATCCATCAATTGCATTCATGTATACACAGATGATCACAATGAGAAACCAAGAACAAATCATGCAGCACCAAAACACCCTCTCTCTTACTCTGGATTGCTCCAACTGCTCTTCTAAATGTGTAACACGATACAGCAAACCTGGAATTGTTTGGCGTGATCTAGTACACATTGGGGGATCAATCCATACAAAGTAACCACACTTAGCTGTAACCTTAAGAAATGTTGAAACGAAACCGATCAAAACCATCAGTAGTACGCACTAAAAGTGGCAAAATAAGTTGTTCGATGTGCAGAAAACATAATTTTCAAGAAATAAAACTAACCCTAGTTGTAAAAAATCCCTAATTTATCAAATACAAGTTGTAATAATCAATTGCTTGAACACCAATATCTTGCTAAACAATATGGATACAAACCAACTAAACACGAATAATGGAACAACTTACCCTGTTATTCGCACATGTGATAAATCTCCTTCCTGGGTTCAAATCTGTCATCTGTGTCTTCGTTTCGGGAGTTCTACCACAGTAACATATGGATTGCATTTCTCCCTCTTCTCCTACTTTTTGGATCTTTTTCTTCCACGTACAGACTTGGGAACCCAAATCACTCTCTTTGTCTGTGTCTCTCATTTTTTCCTCTCTCTCTCTCTCAGTAGATTACCCAAATCACTTGGGTAGACGAAGCCAAGGTTTTGCACAGACAATGATTTTACTATACATCCCCACCTGTTATCACGTGCAAATCATGTGATAACAAAACCAAACGGACAACAAACGGAAAAAATGATGATTTACTACATTGTAACCTTCTAATCTCTTTCAGGAGGTAATATGGAAAAATTAATTATTCAGGGGCAAAGTGAAAAAGTTTGTATCTTTTAGGGGGCAAACTGGGATTTTCCCAAAATTCAATTCATTCTATTTTCCATCTCTCTTACCAAACATAATTGAGGAAATTAATGATTCTTCCCTTGAATGATGGAAAGTGTATCACTTCCATTTTCCATCTTTTTATTTTTTCATCTTTCTATTTTATCATCAATCCTGCCAAATGGACTTTAGAGTCTTGTCTGGATATATTGTTCTCGAAACCAAAGAAGAAAATGCATTTTAGATTGCTTATTGCATCCGGATGGTGTTGTAAGATGAGATCTGGGGCTGTCCTAGCTGGTAAAAGACTAGCTTTAAATTTCAAAAGGATAGGAAATTAGAATCGGCAATTTACAGATCGAATGGAACATTCTTTTATCAGCATTGAATCCCTAAGTTCGATCAAGTTTAATCATCCGTGATTGAGTTATTTGTATTGTACCATTAGAAATTTTTGGGTTCCAATAAAACCGAGTGAAAACAATATGAAAAGCCATGTTCAACTCGTGGGTCTTTAAATAGAAATTAAGTAATGCATAGTAGCTATGTCCATGGATTTTAATGTTACTACATATATATGATGCTATATGTGTAATGTGTTAAGGGTCAACTGCAATCCATCCCATATCAAATTGGTAAAGTCAATAAAAAGAAGAATTAGAACATTTGCAGTCAGTACACTAAGTCGATTCATTGGTGACCAGTCCAAGAACATTTGGATGGAAAATCTTGAGTACGTAGATACTTAAAGGACACTATTAGTCAAGGATTACATTATCAAGAATACCCATGCGATTTAGAAAATTATACTTACGCTGGCTGAAAATCCAAGGGAGCAATTTCTTGGGAATCCACAAACATACATGCATATATATCTTACTCGACCATCGAATTCAAATTGGTTGCTCATGGGATTTCATATGACGAAGGTGTGTGCCTTTGAAATATAATGATAGAAATTGCTCTGTGAAAAAATCCATCTCCATCGCTCACTGTTTATTATGATAGTCAAGCACCTTTGCTCGTGCAAAGACTAAGATGTATAATAGAAAACCAAGATTTCTTAGACTTCGTAAAATAATATTATATAACTCCTAGGTGACGGAGCAGTTAGTATGACATATATCAAATTGATTGAGAATTTGGGAGACCATTTGACGAAATGACTTGCTCGTGACATGAAAAGTAAATCTCTGACGGAATGACAATAATGGATTTTCATCATTTAAATCCTAAATTTAACAAATTTCGACAGATTTTATTATCTACAACTAAAATCTTTGAGTCTCCCTAAATGTCATCGCAACCCATAAAAAGTCATTAACGAAATTTTGAATGTCCCATTATATATAACCCCCCCCCCCCCCCCCCCCAAATTATTGGCTCCAGCAATCTTTACTTCTCTATACTTTAAAACCTACACTTTTATCCTTGTGGTTTGGCAATAAAGTATAATAGCTGACAAAGTTAAAGATATAGTATAAAAATACAATACCCTTTATGCGTAGGTTTCTAAATATTGAGAAATGATGTATTGATCCCGATCCATTATTATTGTCCATAAGTGGGTACTGTTAATTTTTTTTTTTCATATTCAATCATGCATCACTAAATTTATTAAATTCTATTAGATGTAATTGCGGATTCAACTAAGATAGCCATCAGAGCCCAACAAATTTAACAATGGATATCTGAACATTGCCACAACAAATAATATTTGTAATTCGGTTAATCCAAGTTTATATATTACGCACACAAGCATGTAACGAACTTCATTATTATAACAACATAAAATCTTTGTAACAAATGAACCATGCATAACAAACGCAATATTTGATAACGAGAAAGTCTTGCTAAGAGAAGAATCGTACATATAACGTGCTCAGCAATTTATTATATATATGGGGTAGGTAATCTTTGTAGTACAAATGCCATAAAACATAACACACACACACTTCATTCTTATATTAATTTTAAAAAGTAGAAGATGGCAAAGCTTCTCTAGTTGTTGTTGTCCCACCAGAATTGTTTCTGAAGATACTCAACTACGTTTTTGTCCACTTGGAATGCCTTGGTAAGGACATCAACAGAAATGGGTGGT